TGTAACCATCTTGGTGCATATTCCAAGATCTTGGTGTATGTTCCAAGGCTTTGGTGCATATTCCAGAACCATCCAATCTACACCATCTTGGTGTATATTTCAAGGCCTTGGTGCATATTCCAGACCCATCTGGACACAACCTGAGCCATGTGCTTGAACAGGGCAGTGGGACCAGATGAGCCACACTGGTCCCTTCCGGCCTGAGCCATGCTGTGAGTCTGTGCTTCTGTGTTTGCTGCCAATCTGATCCTATTTCTCTCTCCCTCTGTGCTTGCTCTGCAGCTGAACCAGTGAGGCCAATCGACCCCGCGGCGTGGATCTCTCATACCACAGCCATGACGGGAGCGTACCCCCGTTACGGTATGAGCCCCTCCATGAGCATCACCACATCTACCAGCTCCTCACTAACAAGCTCAATTCCCGAGTCGGAAAGTAAGTCACCCTGCAGCCAGCCCAGGGCAGGGCAGTGCTCAGGGCCAGCAGTGCAGAGCTGGCCCCAAACCCGACCCCGGCCACGATGAGAGCGACAGCCACCATACAGCTCTGAGTTCTTTCTGACACTTGGCATTCCCAGGGGGAGCACAAAACCTTCTCCCAAAGCTCAGAGGGTAACACAGAGGTGTTTGGGTAGGGTTTACACTCAGAAAAAAGTAGTTTCTGGTCCCTTTTCCTATAAGGCAGAGCTGCAGCTTTGTCCCTTCAGTCAGAGCTTCCTCCTTGCATTGGGCTGGTTTTGAGGGAGTTGATTTCCTTCAGTTAGATGTCAGTGGTTAGTAATGGTAGTGTAGGATCTAGGATATCTTCCTCTGGGACTCACATGGCCTTCTTTATACTGTTTGATACTTCTAGAATTTATTAAACAAGGAAAAAACAAGTTCAGTGTCCTATGTGAAATTATGGGAGAGTTCAACCTCTTCCCTGCCTTGTCTGTGACAGTCTCTAAACTAGTCATATCCATGAAACTAAGAAACTGTCACTATTCCTTATCTTGGATATATTTGCTTCATAGTAACTCTTCCTTTCTGTTACTCCAAACAACACCTTGAGGATTTTAAAAACCAATGTGGGATTGGTTATAAAATCTCTCAAACATAAATAAACAAAAATCTCTGATTTTATAAACTCCTATTTCCTGGAATTAGTCCTCACTTTGGAATTGGGAGTTATTTTTTCAGTAGGTGCATAGCTCAGTGCCTCTTGAGCTCTCAGGGAGCACCACTGAGGGGAAATTCATCTGCAGTAGGAAGCAAGTGAGCCCCTTCCCTGCTGGCTGCTCCATCCTGAGATGTGTTTCCAGCCTTCCAGCTCCTGCAGATTGCTGGAATCCAATGTGTGTGCTGTTTGCTGTCAGTCTGTACTCAGCATTCCTCTTGAGCTGTCCATGTATCCTGTGCCTTGATTGGGAAGTGGGGACAGACACCCTCTCAGTCATGCTTGGAAAATAAAGGTGTTTGGGAGCAGAACCACATTTCTGGGACAGCTTCTCATTTCTGTGACAGTGACTTAGAGTATTTCCTTTCTGGAGTGCAAGAAAACCCTGAGTTAGCCCTGAAATTTATTGTGACCTTCTGTTTAACACCTTTCCTTCAGCTCAGCCCTAGTCTCTGCTCCAAACTGGGCAGAAGCACCTCAGGGCCTGAGGTACAAAGAGCACTTTGTGTCAACTTTCCACTGAGTTTTGACCAATTTGGGAGCGTTTTAGATACCTCTTAGAACTGTCCATATTATACAGCAAGTAGAACTTGGAAAACATTGATGACCATTTGGCCACTGTTGTTCTTTCTGTGCAGATCACAGTTCTCCAAGAAAATTCAATTTATTGTACCTCACATACTTGAGTATCAGTTGGTTGGTTTTTATTTCAATCCTCCCCCCAAAAAAAACCCAAACATGTTGCTTTTTGCCACTAACCAAACTAACTTAAAGCAAAAGCAAAATGTTAGTGTTTATTCAGAGTGTGTAAGTATTGAAGCTGCATGCAGAGCTGCTCTGGGGTGTTTCCATGCCTATTGGCAGTGCATGTGTGGAAAGAAGCATTTTCAGTTGTCATTGTTTCACTTTTGTCCCTTTTTATCAACGTTTGGGGTGGCTGGAAAAGGACAGAGTTGGTTTCTTTGTGCTTTTGAAAGGTGGGTGATGTGGGAGAAGGGAGGGGAGGAGGGTTCTAATTCCTCAAGGAGAAGGGTCTGAACTACAAACACAGACACATGTCAATGTGGGCTGGAAGATGGGGCAGGGAGGATGGGATGCTGTATCCAAAGAGTAGTTGTCTTATGTGTGACAGGATGATTGAGTGGATTCACAGACCCAGATTCATCCTCTGGAATTCAATATCAGCTCCCACTTTGCCTCTGTGTGTGGCATGGAAGGAGTTCCTAAAGGAACTAGATTCCTACAGCAGAACCTCAGTTCAGCA